TAAAACCGCTAAGTTTTAGTGCTTTCTTCTTTACTCAAGTGCAAATTGAGAAAAATGCTGTTTTTGACACACAGCAGATTTACAACATAGATCCAAACAGGATAGACAAGACATGTTTCAACTGTCCATCTGCAAACTGCCCCAACCACTTTGGGAATCCTCCCAGCCCTCTGCCCTGCAAGTCTTAACAAGACAATGATCCATACTCACACCGACCCTGCTTGCCTTTCTACACACGTGTGTGATTTTGTGAAGCAAGCCATATGGTAAAACTACACAAGCCCTCTAAAGCAAAAATAATAATAAATAGAGGCATGTTTCCCGTATAAAATACACAGCTCATCGCTTAATAGCGACAGCAATCCGAAAATGTACCATGCAAATGACCACTTTTAAAATGCACTGTATTAAAATAGAACGAGTTAGTTGACACTGCCTTAAAATTGAAATCACGTTTCTTTTTATTTAAATATATTAGTTGTGTTAAAATAAATTGATAAGGTAGAATAGAATACAAATACAGCACAATATGTTAATATATATATTATGCTAGGTGTTTAAAGTAAGAATTCCTGACTTCAAGTATGTGCAAACTCAATCATTAAAATCTGATAGATATAACAAGTAACAATGGTCGTGTAGCCTCTACTTGCTATAGAGGCAGTTTGGAAGTCCATCATGCATAGAGAACAGGATGCCCCAAGCTTTTTTTCTGATTGAGAATGTGGAAGTGTGGGTCAAGTTTGAAATGTGTGTAGAGAAGAGGATCTCAGGCTCCTAGACCTTACCTCACACTCCTCGTATTTGATATTATCCGTCAGTTTCCAAAGCATTTTCATGGGCTTTTGGGAAGAGAAATTCGCCTTTCTCTCTTTTCCCCACAAAAGTCTAGAGCCCCTGTGTGTTGTACAGAAAGAGTGAGGCTGCTGCAGTGTTTGGTGCTCTGATATCTCCCTCTAATGGTGGAAAGTTGCCTCTTTTTTTTTTTCCTGCTTCTCACCAACAAGCCTAAGTACCTTATTAGCATATCAACAATAGCCCAATTGCTAGGTGACATAAGAACCTGCTCTGAAGGACTCAGCTACAGCGTGAAAACAAAATCTGACCAAAACAACAGGGGAAATTAACTATTCCCTATTTAATGCTTAGCTACTTAAGGGATCAAAACAAGTAACAACATTTTTGACCGTAATAACGAATGATATTCAAAAGCACATTCAAAAAAATACCCATTGTGCTCTGAAATAATATTTCTGCTGGACAGAATTGTAAGATCGCTGCAAGAATAATGGGTCAGTTTATTCTCATGCTCCATATGGAATTATATTATGTATCGTGAGGATGTTTACACCAAACGTCAGAAACCCAACTTGCCATAGAAATATGCTTTCAGGAATTAATTCTGATGTAGTGTTCAAAAATACATTTTCACCATAAGAATCTATCCCTTTTTTAAGCCTGCGTCCTATTTGATATTCTACTTGGGTGTCTGAATATGTTGGGAAAGTGTGAAATGAGAAAATTATGCACCATCTAATGAACAGTTTCACTTTGACATTAGTATAATGGTTCATTTTAATGGCTAATTGTACTGGATTCGTAGGAGGAACTAGGACGAGCAGCCGACTAAAGAAAAAGAACAAATCTCCAATCATATCTTACATCTCAGCATTTTAAAGATTAAACTTTCACTTTTTGGGAATTTATATTTTTTTATGTTCACTACAGGGTCTTTTTTATTTCTATCCTCTGTCCTGGCACCCTGATAGGCAGCATTGTTCTAACAGACGGCAGTTTCGCACAGTGTTTCTGGTGGGTGAATAAGTGCAAAAGGGTCCACCTCAGTCCAAAGTCATGAAGATGTAGGGTGTTTTTGCTAACCTACAGACAGTGCCTTCTTCTTTTGACTAGACTTTTTGTCTAGTCCAAATAGTTGTTTTTAGCTCATTGAAGTTAAAATGAAGTTCAGATTAGCCTTTGGTGTATGTGCTAATAGGCTGGTACTGTGAAAAGGGACTCCATAGCTTGAGCTAGCGCCATCCACTCGAAGGTCAGACAGGCCCACAGTCACATCAACAAGATTACCATGACCGCCCAGCTAATTGAATGCGAATTATAAGCGTTAGGATCAAACATAGCAGCGTGAAGGTTAGCAAGAGTGTGAAACAACGCTTTAACACCACCGAGCAGATCAATAGTCCTTGCATTAAAGAGTCATCATTAACATTTCTTGGGTGGAGCAGTTGCATCCAGGACCTGCTAATAGTGTGAAACTCTTCAAATATACATGCCCAGCGCAAGCCTCATTGAGATGCAGACTAATTCATGTAATAATACGACCTGTGAACAGCTACATTTACTGATAAGGTGATACTACATAACTGCTATAAAGTACATCCTAATAAGTGAGTGGTGGCAACAAAGAATATAAACAACACTATATACAATAAAAAGCATTGTGCCACAGAGAAATCACTCAGTTTCTATTGTAACAAAAGACCAGTAACTAAAATAAACAGGTATGCCAGCCAAGCACCTGAACCACAAGGTAGGCCTTACTGTGCAATGCTTGTACTGAAATAAATGACTATGTATAAATCACCTTTATTGAGTATCACACTGGGTGATATTAAAATAATCCTGGTATTATATCTGAAAGGTTTTATGTATTCTCAGGCCAATTTATCTAAACAATGCAATGTAATAGGTTGTGCATATAGCTGCTATTCATACATGTGAAAAATAAAGAGGCAAGCATATACATACAGTGTATATATATGTGTGATTTATATATATATATATATAATTTTCAGTACAACCTTTGGCAACACAGCATGAAGTAATAAATAGTATGACAGGACAGTTTGAAATACTTGCTTAACAACATAGCAAGGACAGACCTTAGAAGTAGAAACAGAACAAAGATAAAAAAAGAACGCAAATAGACATGAGTATAATGACTTCAAGGTCAGGATTTGAAATGGCATGACTAGCTCCAATAGTATCCACTCTACTAGTTTGTTACAAGTTCTCTGCATTTCAACCATCACACTTTGACATTGTTCTAGAGATCCCTGCATTACTATTTAGCTGTAAAAATGAGTTGTTTTTTTCAAAGCAGATCAATTGCCATGCATGTCTCATTTTCTGAGTTCTTCCTTTGAAGATAAATAATAACCCTAGTTTTTAAATAAGAATAATGAAAAAGTTCAGCACGGAATCAAATGGCAGTAGAACAATCTGTATTCTTCTTTTTTTTTTTTTTTAAAATATATATATATATATATAGAAATACTCTCTCCGGACTGGGGAGTTTTTTGTGTATGGTATATATAAATATATATAGATAGAGAGAGAGAGAGAGAGAGAGAGAGAGATATACACACACACACACACACACACACACACACACACCTGTAAGGCCCTGGAGATAGTATTGCTATATAAAGAAATCACAAGCTCTCAACACATGCAATGTAACACTAACACATAACAAGCAGAGCACACATACAGGTAACCCACATACTATGTAGTGTACAGTACACCCCTAAACACAAAAACTTCCCAGTCACATGTGCTGTAGGGTAAAGAACAATCCAAGTTCTATCTATAGTTTCCCTTACACATATAGTAATGTATCTGGCCTGTAAGGTGAATGAATTCCAGGCAAACATTATCAGTTTGCATCATTCCATTTTACTTACAGCCTTTAAACCTGCAGAGAAATAAGTGGCTCAGGGCGGTTTTGCCTGCTCTGTTCCTCACCTGCCTCATATTTTAAATGAACAGGAACAGTCCATGACAGCAGACAAAGGCAAACATTTATCTGCACCTCCATGGCCTTCTAGCATAAGGTTAGATCCACAGATAGTATAAACTACACATACAAAATATTTTTTTTTAAAGTGTGAAAATGCTAGTAAGATGAAAAAACACATACTCATTAGTAATCCAAAGGTCATTTAAGACATGCGCCTATGAAAATGTAATTTAAATACTGGAGTGATATCTCACCTGCCAATCCACCATCTTGGCCAGCATGGACATCATATAATCCC